CGAGGACGGCGCTGGAGGTGGTGGGTTGTGGTGGTGGTATTGGGGGTGGTGGTGGTTGTGGTGGCGGTTGTTGTGGTGGTGGTTGTTGTGGTGGTGGGTGGCGGTGGTGGTGGTTGTACCCGGTGGTGATGGTTTGGTGGTGGTGTGGTTGTGGTTTGTGGTGGTGGTGGTGGTGGGTTGTGGTGGTGGTGGTGGTGGTTCTGGTTTTGGTGGTGGTGTGGTGGTGGTTTGTAATGGTGGTGGTGGTGGGTTGTGGTGGTGGCGGTGGTTTGTGTGGTGGTGGTGGTGGCGGTGGTGGTGGTGTGGTGGTTTGTGGTGGTGATGGTGGGTTGTGCTGCTGGTAGTGGCAGTGGTTGTGGCGGTGGGTGTGGTGGTGGTGTGGTAGATTGTGGTGGTGGTGGTGGTGGTGTGGTGGTGGGTTTTTGTGGTGGTGGTGATGGTGGGTTGTGGTGGTGGTGGTGGTTGTGGCGGTTGTGATGGCTGTGGTGGTGGTGGTGGTGGTTGTGCGGTGGGTTGGTGGTGGTGGTGGGTTGAAGCGGTGGTGGTGTTGGTAGTGGTGGTGGTGGTAGTGGTGGTAATCGTCGCTGCGTCCCCGCCGTCGCCGGCGCCAGCGCCAGCGCTGCTGGCCGCCGCCAGCGATGCCGCCGGCGCCAAGGGGGGAGGGGTTTAACCTCCCCCCTCGTCGCTGCGTTCCCGCCGTCGGCGCTGCTGGCCGCCGCCAACGCCAGCGCCGGCGCCGGCGGCGGGGGGAGGAAGGGGGGGGGGTTTTACCCCCCCCCATCCTGGGCTGCCTCTGGTCATCGTCGCTGCGTTCCCGCCGTCGGCGCTGCTGGCGGCCGCCAGCGCCGGCTCTGGCGCCAGCGCCAGGTGTGTGTGGTTTGAACCCCCCCCCTTTGGGAGGGGTGGGGGTGGGGGGGGATCGGGAAGGAGGGGTTTGGGGGGGAGGGGAGTCTCCCTGGTTTTGATCGACGGCGCCGAGAAATTGGTATCGCCTGACTGTGACATCGATTTCGATTTCAGTTCGTGTCGTCAATTGGCCGGGCCCGTCCGATGGTTGCCCCGATGGTTGTGCAAATCGATGCCCCGATGGTTTTCCAGATGGTTGTCCAAATGGTTGTCAAAATGGTTGTCTGGATGGTTGTCCGGATGGTTGTCCAGATGGATGTCCTGATGGTTGTCCCGATGGTTGTCCAGATGGTTGTCCCGATGGTTGTCCCGATGGTTGTGATTATGGCTGTCCCGATGTTTGCCCCGATTGTTGTCCCGTTGGGTGTCCTTATTGTTGCCCCGATCAATTGTTCTGATGGTTCTACGAGGTTACCATGCCGAAACATGCGCCATGCGAAACCATCGCATAGGAAACGCAACCCGAGGTCATGATAACATCATAAAACCATCCTGCGGGGCAAACGTGTAAAACTTCGGCCTACGGAGCACACGCGTTGTTTTGTGTTTGCACAAGTCCGCTCTGCGGGGCAACCAATACTACAATACGCGATGCAATGTATATACGCATGTATGTAGAAACACATGGAAATTGGAGTAGGAGAGCCGGTGACATATGTATATGTGTGTAAATGGATATAAAAACACATGTACACATAGACGTGTATGCCGGTGGGCATATAGACCGCTCGCCCCGATTATTGTCTCGATGGTTGTCCCGATTTATGGTTAGTGGTGAGAATTAACGTGTTGAAGTAACCATCGAAACTATAATGGTGCCAATGGATCATGGTATCGGCGGGTGCTTGGTCATACATATATACATGCATACATAGCCGTACATGCACATGTACATTTACATAAGCAACGAGGCTAAACATATGGAATCACATGGATATTCCGCACGCTATTTCAATCTATACATGTATGTATGCATACAAGGACGGGTTCACAAATATGTCGACCAGGCGATGATGGTAGCCAGCGTGGACCACACACTGTGGTGCTTTGCAATGAGCGCCGAACAATATGAATGCTGTAACACATGTGGTGCAATTTTGGTGGTGCAACCAATGTGGTACAATCGAGATGCTGCAAACGAACGAACAACTAAACAACGCAACGCAAAACAACACACACCAACACAAAACACTGCGGCGCAATGCGAACTGAAACAACGAAATGTGACGCAACGAAATGCCAAGCAACGCGCACCACCGCAAAGCAACGTAACGCAATGCAATGTAAACCACTGCGCATCAATGCGACGCATTGCAACGCAACGCAATCCAAACCACTGCGTGCAAACACTGTTTGGGGAACGCAATCATATCAATGTCCCGACGCTTCTTCCGCTCGTGAGTTGAACTGGGCGCCCAATGCACACCGCAGAAAACGTCAACTCACGCCCCAAGCTGCTTATCACTCGAAGGGTGGCCTATGAGGTATCACCACCCCCCGCGCCTGGAGCGCCCGGCCCTGATCAAGTACCCCTGCACTGCTGAAGTTGGCGGGGCCCCTCCTACCCACTTTCCGTGCCACGCAGGGGCATCCTGAGCGACTCGTTTCGCGCCTCCTCTGCTTGACTTCCTATTTCGGCTGGAAAACGAAACTGCGTAACGACGGCGATGGCCGCTGGAAAAGAGGCTGCCGCGCGGCGGATTCGCCATGTTTCTTTTGATATGACCATTGTTCCAGGCAGCCGAGGCCAACGACGGGGAAAAACCGGAGCCGAGCTGGCCTGTCGAGACAGCGAGCACCCGCCGTGGGGAGGTACGAGAACGAGGATGACGGATACGCCGCGAAACCGTGTACGCCGACGCCCGCTGACGAATTCTGCCTGCGCCCCAAGAGGCCCCCAAGAGGCCCCTCAACCAAGGTGCCTCACAAGTGCCCCCCCCAGAGTTCCAGAGAGAGGGAGCCTTGGACGGGGGACCCGAAGGGGCATTTCGAACAGTGGGCCCTGCGCCCCCCAGGAGGCCTTGGATTCCAACGCCGGTCTGTTGCTATAGAGGGGGTCGTGGGGCAAAGGTTGAAACGCAGATCCAGCCTATCTGTGCATGCGCGGTCTGGCGAAAACGGGTGGCATCAACACGACGGAGGGGAGCGTCGTGGACTCGAGCGGTTGGCCTGGACGCGCGCCGCGCACGACGAACCTCAGGACCTTGCTCTGCAGCCGCCACTTATGTTCTCCAGTGTCACACGGGCACGCAAAACGCCGCCCAGATGAACGCTAGCTGGCGCCCGCCCCACTTTCGCACGCCATCCCCCTCCTCCTCCCCGTGCCCCCTCCCCTTCGCCTCGCCCTCCACGTGCCCATCCGACTCCCCCCTCCTCATCATGCCCCACCTCCTCGTCGTCAATATCCTGCCCTCTTCTGCCAGTGAACGGGGATCATCCTCGCCCTCCTCCGCCCGACGCGCCCCCTCCCATCTGCGCCCTCGCCATTCCCCCTTTTCCCCTACGACCATGCGCGCTTCATCCTACCTCCTTTTGCCCCCCCCCCCGCTTTCCTCGTCCTCGTGATGCTGGCACCGATGCTGCCGTTCCTCCTGGGCCCACTTCCTCCCCCCCCTCCCCCCCTTCATCCCCCAACCCCGTCTCCACCCCTCACGTCGCATTTTTTCCCGCCCGTAGCATATCATCACCAAGCGCCCGCACCTTCTGTCCTCCGAAACCACGACACCGTGACCAGCAGGGAAATCGACGACAAATCCCACCCAGGCACCACTCCAGCCAGTAGCACGCACCACGTGCACAGTTGGACACACGAACTGTGTATTTCGCCCGCGTGCAACGCCCCTCGGTGGACAAGCCGAGAGAAACGCGAAAGTTCCCGCCCAACCACCACCACGTGCGAGGAACATACCCCAAATACGCAGATGGGAGCACGATCTGTGTGCACAGATCGCACCACGATCTGTGTAAACGATGGACCCATACGCGCAATTACACAGTTGAAGACACGAGCTCTGTACACAGGTCGCACCTTGACCTGTGTGTTTTGGAAAAATAAGCGCTCGCCACCTTGAAAGTATCCATGCTTTGCCAAACCAAAACCCACGTCGACATCCCCAGCTACGCCTGCGCGCGGCCCCATCACCTGCATGTCTTACAGCAAGGAGGGAGGATAAGATGTGACAACGGATGGTGGAGCAGGGATGCAAAGCGGAGGAGCGAAGAATGAGAGGGAAGAGAAATAGTGCGCTCTCACGCCGGAGCCGCGGCCGCCTTCGACCCCATCCAGGGGGTAGCGACAGGAGAAGGGAGCAAAGAGGAGGACGACGACGGAAAGCAAAATGTCAGCGGTCCGCAGATATACCGAACGATTGCGAGTCGGGTGGGCGCGGTTTCTTCGAGGCATTTCAATCCGGACCCTTACTGAGTTCACGCGTTCCCCCTCATTTGTATAAACACCGTGCCTTCTGCACACCCTCCTATACAACTGCCTCACAACGGAGGGGCGGTGGATTCCAAAGGAGGCCCCAACCTCCATGCCTGGCCGATGGTTGACTCACCTGGGACCTGAAACGGGCACCTGGGACACGAATGCTTCTCGTTGTGACTCATTGCGAGAGCGGCGCCCACCCTTCGTGCTCCGCTCCAGCGCGCTACGGTGCACAGTTCTGCGGCCCTGAGGGCCGAACAACTGTGCATCGCATCCCCATCACAGGTCGAGGATCGACGACGCCTCGGGGGACGCCAACGCGGTAAGGTGCACACGAGTCGCCCGCGGAATATTACTATTTCTCTCTCCCCACTCACACCTCCGCGGACACAAGCAACCATCAAAGATTTCTGTGCCTGGAGTGATAGACTCCCAGAACTGCCGTGCATGGAAAGCCCAGCGCGCACACGTGGAGAGAGAGAGAGAGAGAGAAAGAGAAAGAGAAACCAAACCACAAAGAAATATTAATAGAGAGAGAGAGAGAAAGAGAGACAGCGGGAGCAGGAAGAGCACGGACGCTGTGCGAAGACCTCTGCGGCCAAAGTGGCCACTTGTATAAACGAAATGGTATCACACAGCGCCGACCAAGGCGGGACGAGACGCCGAATCAGAGGCACGAGACAAGGAACAGACTTCCTCGGGGATCCGCACGGATCTCTTGCATCGGCGCTGGACCTTCCTGCCTGGCGCACGGAGCGCGCCAGGCGCGACGATCATAGCGACAGCCTGTAGTAGGCCCGGCCGTCCACAGAGTAGGGCTCGGGGGCGTCAGCCAAAATCGCGCCCGGGTTGGCCTCTTGGGCGTTGCTTCGCAAGGGGGGCGGTCGTCGGGGGGGCGGAGACACGTGCACCCTTCGGGCCCCTGTTGGGTCCCAGAGGGGCCCCTTGAGGGCCCCCCGAAGGTACACAAAAGCTGTACCTTTCCACACTCCCCCATGGAAAAAGACGCAGCTGCATAACCACAAACCTCCGGAGCTCCGCGCGAACTGCTTTGGATCGGGGCTGCACCCCCCTCCCTGGCGCGCGGAGCGCGCAGGGGGCCACGCCGGAGGCACAGCCAAGCGGGCCCTGGTGTCGATCCAAGAAAGAATGCTTATGCAACTTTAATTTCTTCGATTTTAGGGCCCCTTCGGTGCACAGAAGGTGTACTTTTTTCCGCCCTTCCAATAATCGGCCCGTGAGACTGGAGCGACGGGGACAACGTTAATGGGGGGCGGTGGGAGATGCAATAGTTCGCTTGCGCGAACTATCGCGTGAAGTGTTGCTGGGGTGCACGAACTATGGCACACGCTGTGAACTGTTGCATTGGAAACAATACACGAATACATCCGCGTGCACAACGGCGTCCAGGCTGCGAACTACTGCATCCATTCGTCTGCCGGCACTATTGCACCTACTCAGGCCCCTCATTTGTGCTTCAATCGGGTTAGATGGGATAGGACACGCGACAAGACACAAGACACAAGTTGCCATCACAATGTAGACGGCATGGGCCGCGAAATACGAGACACGAGGCTCCCTGCATGTGGCAGGGTCGACCTGCTAATCCAGGTCGACTGTAACTGCCCCCGCTGCTCCAGCCTGGGGCCCCCCTTGACGCCACGCCCGAACCTCTCTGGCGAGAGCCCTCCTGGGCTCTGGCGGGCCGCCGGGCGCCCCCGCGGGGCCCTCCGTCGCGACCGCCCGCGCCAGGGCGGCGGGCGCCGCCGCGTCCAGCAGGCTCCGGAGCTCGCCTTCGCTGCCGGCGATGAGGACGCGGGGCCCCGCGCCCGCCTCGTCGGCCATGGAGTGCTCCCGGCCAGCGACGAAGGTGGCCGCGCGCGTGGTCTGCTGGTGACCCTCCGGGGAGGAAGGAGAAGCACAGACAGACGCACACATAGACACAGACACAGACACAGACACAGACACAGACACAGACACAGACACAGAAACAGACACAGACACAGACACACACACACACACACACACACACACACACACACACACACACGCTGCTTGGCGAGCACGGCTTCGCGCGCAGCGACGGGGCGAAGCAGAGCGGTGAGAAGGGAAGCGAACGCGCGCGCGGCTGGCCCCTCAGAAGATGGAGCAGGGATTCACAGGGATCGGCCATGACGCACACACGCACACTCACACACATGCATTCACGCACGCTTTGTCTTTGTCTGCCTGTCTTTCTGCCTGTCAGCCTGCCTGTCTGCCTGTCTGTTTGTCTCCGAGAGAGATAATGTGCGAGTGTGCGTGCGAATGTGTGTGTGTGTGTGTTGCGTGTGCCTGCGTACACCTCGACGCCGCGTGATTTGGGCAGGCCCGCGCGCGTCTTGCTTCCGCTCGGCCTTCACTACGCGGCGCCGCTGCGCGCGTGAGACAGGCAGACAGACAGGCAGACAAACAGACAGACAGACAAAGACAGAGACGGAGACGGAGACGCAGGCGGAGACGGAGACAGACAGACACGCACGCACACGCACACACAACATACACAGACGACATAGACACGAACTGCCGGAGGTCCGCGAGCATCTCCTGGGTCGTCGCTGCACCCGCCTCCCCACGCCCGCTCCGCAGCGCGAGGAGCGCGCCGGGGAAGAGAGGCGCCAAGGGGCGCGGCCGGAGGTGCCGGGAGGGGGGCCCAGCGCCGTGTGGCGGCCCCGAACTTTTGGCAGGTTGATCTCTCAAGCTCTCCGCCGCCTCTGGCGGTGCGCGTCGCGAGCAGGAGCACAGCAGAGGCAGAGGAGAGCGCGGCATTGACAGTGTACGGCTCCGCACACGTGACAGCTGTGGACGAGCAGGAGCACGCAGCTCTGCTGTGTTCCTGCTCGCAACGCGCACCACCAGAGGCGGCGGAGAGCTGGAGAGATCCACATGCCGAACGGGCGCGGGCCCCAGGAGGACGATGAGTCCGATTCCTCGAGCCCCTCTCCCCAAGGCCGGCTCTTCATCCCGAGGTGCTCTTGCCGATCCCGAGGCCCGAGGCCCGATGCTGGGCTCCGGGTGCCCGAACTCACAAAACACAGCTGCGCCTCGATGTTTTCGAGGCGCTGGCTGTGTGGGTCCAGCGCTTTGTCAGCGTCGCAAATGGGGTCCTGGGCTGTGGGGCACCCCGGGCCGCCAGGCCCACCCCCCCCGCCGTGCGAGCATGGGGCCACCTCGGATCGATGGAGCACCATAACCAGCCTCGAACGTATCCTTATCCCTGAGATGGGCGAGCAAAAAGCAAGTACAATCTTGGGGACAGGCCCTCAGAAACTGAGGAAATCCTCAAGATCGGCATCGAGGTAAGATGAAATCAAACATAGGGATAGGGATAGGTTTCAAACTGGTAATACCAACGCCCAATCGGATCGGGGCCGAAACCGATACTCGTATCGGACTAGTCGGGTCGAATTCTGAGGCTCCCGGGACGGGCACTGCATCCGCCAAGTGCAAGTGGGAGTGGCCAGTGCTGGAAAGAGTGGCAGGGCGCGAACGAGGCCGAAGCAGGTGGGTCAAGCCCGCCAGGGTTGGAACAGCCGGCGGGAGACTGGCCAGGGCTGAAAAGAGCGGAAGGGCTCACCCAGCCACTTTTCCAGCCTCCCTGGACCGAATCTAGAGCAACAGAATCAACAGAAGCGGCATATACAACATTTCTCGGAGGTCCTCGCGGGACTTCTCAGATCGGCGCTGGGAACCCCCTCCCTGGCGCGCGGAGCGCGCCTGGAATGACGCTAGAGGAGCCGCCAGCCGATTCGAGACATCCGCGCGGAGCTCAGAAAAACAAACTTTGCTTATGCTACTGTTTTGACCCTTCGCGAATCAGACGGAGGTTTCGCCACGTTGCCGCTTCGTTGCCGCCTCTAGCTCGCACTGCGTATATTCTGCCCGAACGAACTAGTAGAACTACGTCGCGCGCTTCGCGCGTGCTCAAGCTTTACTTGCCGTAGGATCCAGCGTATAGCACGTCAGAGCGGCCGTGCCTGGATGCGTAGGCCACGAAGGGCATAACATCCGAGGCCGCAAAGGGCAGCGATGGGGCCGCTGAGGGCAGCACCAGGGCCACGAAGGGTAGCGAGGGGGCCACAAACGGCGACAGCGGGGCCACGAAGGGCATGCATACGGGGCCACGACGGGCGCGAACGAGCGGGGGCCACGAAGGGCATTCGTGCGGGGCCAGAAACGGCGGCACCGGGCCACTGAGGGCAGCAAAAGGGCCACGAAGGGCAGCGAGCGGGCCACGAAGGGCGACAGCGGGGCTACGAAAGGCAAACGTATGAGGCCACGACGGGCGCGTGCGAGCGGGGGCCACGAAGGGCATCGGATGCGGGGCCACAAAGAGCAGCGACGGGGCCACTGAAGGGCAGCGAGCGAAGGCGACAGATGGACCAGTACGGGCAGCGAGGGGCATCGAAGGCGGGCTAAGGGCAGCAAGCGGCGACTACAGTCATTAAGGCTGGTCGGGCGGGCAGGCCCCGACGGGCGGGTCGAGCGGGCGGGTCGTTGAAGCATGAGTCCTGCTTGAACCGCCAGGCAATATGTAGCAGGAGCGCTATTTCTGAGTGGCGACGACCAGCATCTGAATACATTGTGAGGAAATATCATTCGAAGCGCTTCGGTGATAAGTTCCGAAGGAGTCCCCAGCGAGAACGCGATTCTGCATTAACTTGTCAGGACACAGCAGGCGGGAACCGCGATTCGGTTGTAAATTGCCAGGGGGTCCGAAGCGAGAGCGCAATTCTTCAATACTGTGTGAAGAAATATCAAAAGGGAGCCGTTGTTGTTGAGCTCTCATTTCTGAACAATAATGATTGATCCCCCCTCACCGGTGCATGCTGTTTTTTCTCTTAATCAAAGTGTGCTTCTCGACGCTCGCACCCTGGTTTTTGACAAAGGAAATCATGAGGCTCAAACTGTGCCCTTGGCCCCCGGGTTGCAACAACAACGGTTCCCGCCTGTGACTTTTCCACGATTTAGCCAGGACCCCCGCTCCCGCCTGAGACTTCCTCGCGTTGTATTTAGGAATCGCGCTCTCGCTGAGGACTTCCTGACAATATATTTAAGAATCCTTCTCTCGGCGCTCGGGAGTCGCGCTCTCGCTGGAGACTCGCCTGCAAGTTACTTAAGAATAGCGCCCTTGCGTTGGAATCTGCAGCAATTTACTCAAGCGCCACGCTCCCGACCCTCAGGCACCCAGGAGTCGCGCTCACGCTTGGGACTCCTTCGCAAAAAAAAATAAGGAAACAGGATGTCGCTGCGTTTCATGGCCCCGTTGGAACCCTTCGTGGCCCCCTCGCTGCCCTTGGTGGGCCCGTTGCAGCCCTTCGTGGCCCCTTCGCTGCCCTTCGCGGCCCCGTTGCAGCCCTTCGTGGACCCCTCGCTGCCCTTCGCGGCTTCGTTGCACCCCTTCGTGGCCCCCTCGCTGCCCTTCATGGCCCCGTTGCAACCCTTCGTGGCCCCCTCGCTGCCCTTCGTGGCCCCGTTGCAGCCCTTCGTGGCCCCCTCGCTGCCCTTCGTGGCCCCGTTGCAGCCCTTGGTGGCCCCCTCGCTTTGTCTCGTGGCCCCGTTGCACCCCTTCGTGGCCCCCTCGCTGCCGTTCGTGGCCCCATATACGTATGCCCTTCGTGGCCCCCGCTCGTTCGCGCCCGTCGCGGCCCCATTGGCATGCCCTTCGTGGCCCCGCTGTCGCCCTTTGTGGCCCCCTCGCTGCCCTTCGTGGCCCTGTTGCTGCCCTCAGTGGCCCCGTCTTTGTCCTCCGCGGCCCAGTATACGTATGCCATTCGTGGCCCCCGTTACTTCGCGCCCGTCGTGGACCCATATGCATGCCCTTCGTGGCCCCGCTGTCGCCCTTCGTGGCCCCCTCGCTGTCCTACGTGGCCCAGTTGCTACCCTCATTGACCCCGTCGTTGCCTTCTGTGGCCCCGCATTATCTGCCCTTCGTGGCCCCCGCTCGTTCGCGCTTTTCGTGGCCCCATACGCATCCCCTTCGTGTCCCCGCTGTCGCCCTTCGTGGCCTACTTCGTGACCTTGGTGGCCCCGCTGTCATTCTCTCTCTCGCTCTCGCTTTCGCTCGTCGTCGTCGTCGTCGTCGTCGACGTCGTCGTCGTCGTCGACGTCGTCGTCGACGTCGGTCCCCTGTCCGTCCCGCTTGGGGTCGGGTTGCCGCCGATCAGCGCTGCCGCTTGCCGCTGGCCAGGCCGACGCTCCGCGGCCGCCCCGCCGCTTGCCGGGGCCCGGCCTGCAGGGAAGAAAAGCTTACCTCCGAAAAAGTGTACGATCGAAAACGAAGAGGGCGGGTATCGAGGGTTTGGGAAATACGCGCTAACGGTCACTCGAGAAGAAAAGAGCGAACAGACTTAAGATGATTGAGCTCTCACTTCTGAAGAATAATTATTGTTACCCCCCCCACCGGTGCATACTGTTTTTCCTAAGTCAAAGTGTGCCCCTTCGACGCTCGCACCATATTTTTTGACAAAGGAGGCTCAAACTGGGCCCCTGTCCCCCGAGCTACAACAACAACGGCTCCCGCCTGAGACCTCCTCACAATTTAGCCAGGACCCCCGATCCCGCCCGAGACTGCCTCGCAGTTGATTCAGGAATCGCGCTCTCGCTTGGGACTTCCGTACAATGTATTAAGAAATCGCTATCCCGGCGCTCTGGGGTCGCGCTCTCGCTGGAGATTCACTTGCAAGTTACTGAAGAATAGCGCCCTTGCGTGGGAATTTCCTGAAATTTGCTAAAACGCCGCGCTCCCGACACCCATGCAACCAGGAGTCGCGCTGACGCTTAGGACTCCCTCATAGATTACCTGGGAATCAGGATTTCACTGCCCTTCGTGGCCCCGTTGCAGCCCTTCGTGGCCCCGT